CGTTTACGCCGCTGTCCTCGTGCCACCTACTATTACGGCATATCCTGATAGTTTGAATCCCATCAGCATGGTTCTGGCTAGTGTTGAGGCAAGCCAAGCCGGGTATCAAAGGTGCAAAGGTAACTTGCCCGCATACTGTCGGTGCAAGCAGCATCGCACGCCTGGCTTCCCCTCCTGCTCTATGCCGTGCGGGCATCATTGATGGTCGATCCATAGTTCTCGCCGTGTTCAGCTCCTCGCCCTTGTCTGAATCAACAAACAATGTAGAGTATCAACTGCCGCCACCGCAGAGTCTCACCGGCGCGTGTTGATCCAATGCCCTGTGCCTATCTTTCCGTACCTACCCTCAACGTCCTACATACCACAATTGCTACAGTCTCAAGGTTTCTCAGCTATCTGCAGACCATCCCGCGCAGGAGTTCCTTGACTCTCTCCACAACCTCCACTCCCCCCATCATCCCAGCTTGTAGTCTCACTCCCACTCTCCCTCGCACTCACTATCTCTCAGGCTTCTGCCAGACTACCCCTAGTGTGTCTAGTGACACTCCCCAAGCTACATAACCCCCCCAGCTCACTCTCCGCTCCTCACCTGGTCCTCCTTCCGCTCCTCTCCTCTCCTCATCTTATCGTAATACGCTTTGGATAGGCCCTCACCAACAACACTGTTTGGCTTCCTACCAAGACAAGGATAAGGATCAAAGTCCTTTCTGCATCGAGAGTTCCTCGTCTCTTACGCCCCAAGAATAGGGGGGCAGATCTCTGGACACGATCACAGCCGCGAGCTGTGCTTTGTTGCTAGACTGCTACTCACTGGTCTCGACCAACATTCAATACCAACATCTATTCACATACTCTCAAACTCTCAACACGATACTCCTTCAATCAACGTCATTTGACAATCTGCCTGACAACACCCACCCACCGAATCTCTTTGCCCTTTTATCGCATACCGCGTATCGTGAAGACACTGCTGTCTCCCGCGTCTTGCTGACGACCCCATCCCTCAAACATCGAACTTCAACAAGCCTATCTAGTCAAAGGACGTAACCCGTCAAAATCATTATTGATGTCGGTTGACCTTCGTACAAGCCTCAATTGCCTTCGCCATCCATCCAGGTTTATGCCCGTCTCGAGAACACAACTCTCGAGAGACCATACGGGTGATAGTATACAGAATTTAAGTACGTCGGTTTCAAGCTTACTACTAAAAGCCCCAGCGCCAGAGTGAGATAGGGAGGCCTGCAATAGCGCTGACAAGAAAACCAAACAGATTCGTGAACAAGACAGGCTATCCTGTCGAAAAGTGAAGCCCGTCATGGAGCACGTAAGCAAAAGCGTCACCCTTGTCGAGCTCAAACGTTCTCTCGTGCCCCCGAAATGGGAGGATACCGTGCGTGTCATTGGCATGTCGGAGTGCAAGGAGGCCGGCCTCTCGCTGGCCCACGCCTTTGCTGCTGATGATCTTAGCCAGTATCTCCTTGATGCAGACGACATGGCGAGCCTATCGGCCGAGTCAAAGTGGAAGCTGCACGTCGACATCATGACGTATATCGCAGCCGCCCACTTTCTCAACGGTATTGTCACCACCATTGGCTCGGATTACGACGCCGTTGCGCTGTGGTGAGTTTGTGCCCCAAGTTCTTTCTGCTTTGCTCATGGAGGCATGGCATTTCATGACGACCCTCTCCCGCTCGCGAGACTTTCCCGTTAGAAAGCGACATTGGACTAACATTAGATGGATCATGATAGGATGCCTCCTGGAAAGGACACTGACGGATGGTTGACTATCCTCCGCAGCGGGTTGTGGCGGCTCTATTTCCAGCTATCTGTGGAAGCTAGACGTCGATACTACGACGAGCTACTGCCTCTGCTGCATGACACCAAGCTGGAGGTCATGGGCGAGCGGGACAATGATTGCTACTACCTGGTCTACCTAGGGACCAAGCCCAACGCCCGGGGCAAGGGGTACGCGAAGAAGCTGCTCAACGACATGATTGAGAGGGTACGTTGAAGGATCGCCATCTGGATTACACCTGTTGCATCTGGCAAACAACATTCAGTCGTGTAATAAACATTGTATCTTGGCTGTGCCCTGACTAACTCTCTGAATAGGCCGACGCGGAAAATCGCGCCGTCTACCTTGAGTCCAGCTCTCTGTCCAACAACGAGTACTATCTCAAGTATGGTTTCGAGTTTAAGCGCGAGATCCGGATGACGCGTGGAGACACGCCCGTCAGCCTCTTCATCATGGTCCGCGAACCACGCGCGCACAAGAGCGGGGGAGGTCAGACGTACTCGACCGTAGTCTCGAGCAACATCAAGCTGCAGATCAATGCCGTGATGAAGGAGACGGCCAGGGTCTGAATCGGCGGAGGGTGTTGAAGTTGTGAGCATCCTCCATCCTTCCTTTCGACCTGGAAATTGGTGATGTGGTGTGTGTGTGCTGTGCGTTTTGTTTCTGCGTGTCCGGAGGTGGTGTGGTGTTACCTGCCTCCTTTTTTGTTGACGATCCCTTCATTCATGGCTGCGGTCCTTGTGTGCAATGCTTGCCACCTGTGTCTCATGCTGACCACAGCTCGACTTTTTAACATTGACCTGAATGGGCGCCTCTGGTTCAACACCGACGCTTATGCGTTTGAAACTCACTGTCTCTACCGCAGCGGCAATGAAATGATGTCTTTGTCGATTTTTACGAATATTTTTGGATTTCGTCCTTTTAGTTTGCTTGTATCTACCGACTAGCTCTAGCCCTTCATTAGAATACTGACCGATTCACTCATTCAATCATATCAATGGTTCGCGGTCTTTCCGCTGGTCCCTCTTCCTTTTTCGAGGTCTCACTCGTGATAGCATACCGACGCGGTTGCTGACACCCTGTGTGACTCAACACTCCCGGTGAAGCCACCACTGAGTTTTTTTTCTCTTTGCCCACGGGACTTGTCCTCCCTACTCAGCAATTTTGACATTTCCTTTGACGCTTTTTTGATCCGCATCCATTCATGTCTCCGTATACTTCTTGGCTTCCAAATCTAGTAATCGAGGATAGCCCAAGTCTCGTCGTCAATGGTGGTGTAAATCAGACCCTGGGAGAGCAGCTCGTCCGCCGCATCTATCGTAGCCCGCATAGCCAAGCCCGCACCGCTCGAAATCTGGTTCAGGTGCACGCCCTCGTTGCCGCCGGGGGCATTGTTGATAAAGTTGAACATCTTTTGCGCGTTCGCCGAGACACCTCTAAGCTTGGAGGCCTGCGCGGGGTTGCCGCCGCCCGCCGCCGCACCACCGGCGCCGTATCCATCCCCACCGTCGACGAACATGCCGTCCTCGCCGCCTCCTGCACCGCCGTTCGCCGCGGGACCACTGCCGTCGGCGTTGAGGGGTCCCTTTGTGAAGTAGAGGTGGACGTAGGTGGCCTCGAGGAGGTGGTAGTTGACCTCGTTGAAGTCGGTGACGGGGCGGATAAAGTGCGCGCCGACGTGGCGTTTGCCGTTGAACGACTTGAGGCGGCCCCAGACGCGGACGTGGCCCTCGAGCTCGAGCTTCTCGTCGGCGTCGTCCTTTTTATCCGTGTCGACCCACTTCTTGACCTCGATGAGCCCCGTGCCGTCGTCGAGCTTGAGGGTGATGTTTGTGGGCTGGGGCGAGATCTGGCGGATCTGGGCGACGAAGGTGACCTGGGTGACGGTGGCGCCGTCGATCTTGAAGTCGGCGCCCGGGTAGGCTTCCTCGGCGTCGATGACCTGCTTGATTGTGACGGGGCGGAGGGATTCTTCGCTGTAGGCTTTTCCGCCGCCGGCGCCCTGGGAGCCTCCTGCGCCGCCTTGGGAGCCGCCGTAGACGAAGCCGCCTGCGTCGTCGCCGCCGCCTGCGCCGTAGGAGGTTTTTGTGAAGCCGCCGTATGAAGCTGCGTAGTGAAGGGTAAGTGGTTAGTTGAGAGGTTGAGGGGAGGAATGGGGTTGATGTACTCATTGTGTTTGTGGAATCTCTGAGAGAGGGTCTATGGGTTGTCGTGAATAAGTGTGAGGTCGACGGGGATTGTGTTTCTGGGGGTAAGGGGACGACGGGATGGTGGTTGTGGTGGGATGTGTGGTGGTGGTAGGTTGGGTAGTTTTGAACGGGAACGCGTCTTTTTGCCTGGCGACGCGACTGGGGGTTTAATTGATGTGCACGACGTGCAAAGTGCCACCCGCTGCCCGCTGTGGAATGTTGGTGCCCCGCGTTGAGACCACGACTGGATGAAAGCTGAGGGTGGGGGGCTCTGAGGTTGAAGATGACATAAGCTAGATGGATTGGTCTGTGCATGATGGCACCGGTTATCGGGAGCCGATTGACATCAGCTGCGATCTTCAGTCGAGATAGGTAAGTTTATACGGTGACGGTGAGTGAGTGAGTGAGTGAGTGCCTCACTTTACCGAGAGATTATGAGTAAGTAATCAGGAAAGATTGAGTACTAGGAACCAATGCATTACTGAGGTTCTGTGAGATTAGATGCCGTGGTTCGAGTACCTATCAACGGTGCACTGATTACAGATCCTTAATTCTGAGGTACGAATCCAAGGTATCGACATGTCATGATATCTGCTAAACAATCTTCCCGACCCAGCATATGTCTCTTACCTCCAAATTATTTTGTATTGGGAAACAATTCGACAAACTCTAGTGACTCTCCGACCTTGTTGATCGATGACTCTAGTGCACAATAAGAATAAGTATACGAATCACATGAATTCTAGATGAGGCCAAGTGAGGTTCCATGAGATTCTCTCCAGGTTGACTGACCGGTGTGGCGGTTGTCACTGCTCCGATTAGCCTCGGCTGACGGCGATTGCGGAGGGTCCCACACTACCAGAGCCCCCACAACGGCTTCAACAGCGACTGGATCACTGGAGCTGGACCGCCTGGAGGATGTGGCCCGACGCCTGGAGTGCCGCGACCAGGGAGCTCCTCCTCCTCTTTCTCGGGACTTTGGGGGTGGGCGAACGTCCAACGTTGGCGCCGGGCGTTGCTTCTGACATCAACCATCCCAGCACCTCCAAACCCAAATTCCCCTTTTGCCTTTCCAGTCTTTCATCTCCATTGTGACAACATCCCACCCATCAGGGCCACGCCATTGAAGTAGCATTTTCTTTCGACTTCCACCGTATTCCCATACCTCGAACTTGTCATTTAGAGCACCCATCTCGCTATCCGATATACCCTCTTCATTGCTATCGTCACCGTTGCCAGGCAAGGTGCACGTAAATCAACAATCAACCCGCACATCACACGACATCACCAACAACTGACTCCCACATGGCGCGATCTCAAACGAAAACCCTTCCCGTCATCCCCCTCGCCCGCGGCACCATCCTCCTGCCGGGCGTCGCACAGCGCATCCCCGTCACCGCCGCCCGTCCCGACATCCCCGCCCTTCTCGCGAACGTCTACACCCGCGCTGCTTCCGCGGCCCCGAACGAGCGCATCGACTCCGTCCCCATCGCCTGCGTCCCCGTCTCTTCCCCCTTCGTCGGCCCCAACGGCCAGCTTCTCATCCAGGATGCCGACCAGATGGATGAGTCCCTCATCAAGGAGGTCGACCCCGGCACCGCTCGCAAGTCCGATCTCTACAACTATGGCGTAGCCGCCCGCATCACAGGCATTGAAGGAAGGGGGACCGCCGAGTTCGCCCTGCGTGTGGAGGGCTTTGCAAGAGTTCGAGTAGAGAAGGTCACGCAAGAGCGGCCGCACTTTGAGGCCAAGGTCAAGTACTTCCACGATGAAGGTTAGCCTACCCCTCTGTCTGCCCGAATCGTAATGAACCGCAGATGATCGCTAACGATTTGCGCAGTAACGACGGATGCCCAGATGCAAGAACTCTTCTCCCTCCTTAAACTTCGATCCCGAGAACTCGTAACGATCCTTCGCATATCCGCACTCCTCCCTAGAAGTCCAGACAGTCCCGGCGGTCTGTCTCCACTGTTGACTAGGAGGCTCGAGATGTTCATCAACAAGAAGGAGCTCAAAGATGCCGGTCAGCTGGCAGACTTCATGGCCAACATTGTTGAGGCTTCATACGAGGAGAAACTCGAAGTTTTGGCTGCCCTCGACGTCAAGGTTCGCCTTGCTAAAGTCATTGAGCTCCTTGACCGACAGGTCAGCGGGATCAAGAACAACTTCAAAATCACCACCTTCACCAGCGTGCCCGTGCAGTTCCTCGACAAGATCAACGATAAGACATCACGCCGTGTCGGCCCCAACGGCGCTCCGCTGCCACCCAACACCATGTTTCCTCCAGGCCCCAACGGCGTCATGGGCCCCAACCAAGACGATGACCAGGAGCCCAATGAGCTGGAAGAGCTCAAGAAGAAGCTGGACAAGGCCCAGCTCCCGCCCGAACCCGCCAAGATGGCGCAAAGGGAGTTGAGGAGACTGAAGAAGATGATGCCCGGTAATCAAGAATACCAGGTCACTCGCACTTGGCTAGATGTGCTCTCCGAGATTCCCTGGACCGCTACTACGGATGACAGACTGGGGCCTGACACGCTCGCGAGAGCTCGCAAGCAGTTGGACGAGGACCACTACGGCCTGGATAAGGTCAAGAAGCGTTTGGTTGAGTACCTAGCTGTGCTGAGGCTCAAGCAATCCATCAACGACGACGTTGAGGAACAGATCAGGCAGGCAGAGGCGGAAGCGGCTCCTCCGGCCGAACCTGAGAAGGAGAAGGAAGAGGACGCCGAGAAAGCGAAGAAGGAGGAAGGCAACGCCGAGTTGGAGGAGCGCGCGAAGTTGGCCAACACTAAGATCGAGGTTCTGCGATCAAAGCGGATGGTGGACCGGTCGCCTATCATGCTCTTGGCCGGCCCTCCTGGTGTTGGCAAAACAAGTCTGGCAAGATCTGTCGCCATGGCGCTGGGCAGGAAGTTCCACCGAATCTCGCTTGGCGGTGTAAGAGACGAAGCTGAGATTCGTGGTCACCGCCGGACGTACGTGGCGGCCATGCCCGGTCTGATTGTTCAGGGGCTCCGAAAGGTCGGCGTGGCAAACCCCGTCTTCCTTCTCGATGAGATTGACAAGTTGGGCATGTCCAATGTTCACGGCGACCCGTCTGCAGCTATGCTCGAGGTTTTGGATCCCGAACAGAACAACTCATTCACTGACCACTACGTCGGTCTGCCCATCGACTTGAGCAAGGTGTTGTTCATCGCCACGGCCAACAGCCTAGACACCATCCCAGCCCCCCTCCTTGACAGAATGGAAACAATCTATCTGCCGGGATACACAACGCTCGAGAAACGCCACATTGCCATGCAGCACCTCGTGCCCAAGCAAATCCGGGTCAACGGACTTTCGGACGACCAGGTCAACTTTGACAAGGAAGTCGTGTCCAAGATCATCGAGTCTTACACCCGTGAATCAGGAGTTCGTAACCTGGAGCGCGAGATTGGCTCTGTCTGTCGTGCTAAGGCTGTCGAGTTCGCCGAAGCCAAGGACGGAGGACAACTCGGGACTTACAAGTCCCAACTCACAGTCGACGACATCGAAGAAATCTTGGGCATCGAAAAGTTTGAGGAGGAAATTGCCGAGAAAACAAGCAAGCCCGGCATCGTCACCGGTCTGGTGGCGTACAGTTCGGGCGGCAACGGTAGCATCCTCTTTATTGAGGTTGCCGACATGCCTGGAAACGGCAGCTTGCAGCTTACCGGTAAGCTGGGAGACGTGTTGAAGGAGAGTGTTGAGGTCGCTCTGTCCTGGGTCAAGGCGCACGCGTACGAGCTGGGTCTGACGTCGGAACCGGCCGCGAACATCATGAAGGAGCGGAGCATCCATGTCCATTGCCCTTCGGGCTCGATCCCCAAGGACGGTCCCAGCAGCGGTATGGCGCAGGCCATTGCTCTCATTTCTCTATTCTCCGGCAAGCCTGTACCTCCTACAATGGCCATGACGGTATGTCTTTCCCGAGTGATAAAGTGGATGACCATCGGGAAACCGGTACACTGACACAACATTCTGTACTACAGGGCGAGATATCCTTGCGCGGCCGTGTGACTGCCGTCGGGGGCATCAAGGAGAAGCTCATTGGCGCACTCCGAGCTGGTGTCAAGACGGTGCTACTCCCCGCGCAGAATCGCAAGGATGTGAAAGATCTCCCTCAGGAGGTCAAGGATGGCTTGGAGATCCTCCACGTCAAGTAAGTCTTATCCCAACCCCTCCCCAAAATGTCTTGCGTTCCTGTGTCTCTCTCGCTTCCTGAAGTCGTACCACCCTCTCACCAACTACCCCGTTTCCCATTGGCGCCGTGCCCCCGACGCGGTGATCCCTTTGCCTGCCGCTATGACCCCTGGTCCTGGAACCGTTCTTCACAATGTGCCGTGTGACTGACCTTCTTGTCCTACTCCAGTCATGTCTGGGAGGCCATCCGACTCGTCTGGCCCGATTCCCAGTGGCCTGGCGCGGAGCCCTACCCTCCCATCGAGAGCCGATTGTAGATTGGTAAAATAAGGGGTGGAGGTGTATGTGATGCTCCGACAAGACCATGCACGCCGCGAACACCCACTTGTTTTGTATTACTCAACATCATCACCACTACCATCAACTTTCAACTGAGCCGACCTCTCCTGCCACGACTGAGACTGTATGTAACGAAAGGGAAGGGAAGCGGCATTGCACACATCACACACTGGGTAGTATGGCCATTCGGTTCCGTTTCGGCGTTTTTGTAGGTGTCTCGGGGCGTCGCGGGACGGGCGTCCAAGACATTTGACTTGTCCCGTCTCGCCGCGACGTGTATTGTCTTTGTTCATAATGCGTGTTGCAAAAGGAGAATGCTACGTGTACATGTTCCTTCTTTGGATCAGTTGCTAGGTTCTACAATGGCATTCGCTTTCAGAAACTTGAGTACGATTAACCGCGCGTCACGTTGTAGTCGACTAGCGCCGCGAAACCGTATGCAGATGTTGGAGTGACTCCTGTTGCTCTGCCACCATGTTTTGTGACGGCGTACATGTGTGTTTGATGATGGGTTACTAGCCTGCTGAGTGCTGGTCTCCCTGTCTACGAAGTAGGGACATGTACCTTGGGCAAAGATGATCTCTTGTCCACTCTCCAGAGTCTGCAGCATCGACGACACCACCTTGGGTCAGGTCCCAGATATAGTGTTCGCTCGCTTTCGCTATGCTGTATAATCCGTTCTCATTTTACGTTCTTTTCAGGTTTGATGAGGACCGAGAATTCGGAAATGAGGCAGACGACTGAAAGTGCGTACGGGTCCGGTCTTCACGTTTTTGCATGATTTCTGGCGGTATGTGGCAGGGGACGATAGCTCACGCTATCGGGAGGTAGTTCTCTATGGCGTATGGCTGTGATGAGGAACCTGAACAAGAGGCCTTCAATTGTATTTGATGATCAGGTGGAGGTTTTGGAGCTTTGCGAAATCAAAACATCCGTTACTTCTGGTCAGTTTTCTCAAGTCAATCAGAGTGTGAAACTTTTTGAAGTGATAGTTTACATTGGCGTATCCTTTGTATGTATATAATCTTCGTCAGGACAAGACTTCCTCCTCACCTTCTTCACTCCTTCTCGCTTCAAGTCGGGGTTAATGCTGCTGTTCCCCAACGGAGAGGATGGGATTGCCATGCGGATTCCCCCCGCCTGCCTTTGAATTCGTTCCCAGATCGTTGGCAAGAGGGGAAGGGGGGGTTAGCCTTCACATCCCTTTACTGACCACGAAACAAGACGCGGCTACCCGCAGGTGTTGGGAACGCAAGATACTCTTGATCGGGAGGTTGACAGACCAATGGAAAGGGGGGGAGTTAAATAGATAAACAATGATGGTACATCTCATTCTCTCGTCGGCCCCTTGGTTCTTCCACAGAGATTCGCATCATCTCAATATAACATCCTCCCCTGCTTCTGCTTTGGCTTCGGCTGCCAGTCTGCCTTCAAACTGCAGTGTAAAGCTTTGCAAAAGAATGTAGAAAGCGAACAGGGTAGAACTACACAAAGCGGAGGGGAGCTTCAGCGGGCGGTCTCTGATCAAGACAGTAAATAGACGAAAACATAATTATCCGTCCCTCTCTCAGTTTATTCCCTTAAGCATGACCATGCCGATATGTTTGTTTCTACACTACGAATGAGGCCTCCTCCCTGGGCCAGACACCATACACCACGCCCCTTAAACGACCTAGTGGCAAGCGATGCCGAACACTATCACCACCATCGGTGCCTGATCACGGCGTGTAAGCCCCGAAGGAGAACAAGTTCCAGCTGCCACGAACATAAAGCTAATGTAGAGCAAAGGGTAAAAATCGCCGGGCCATTCATGACAGCGCCCGTTTCGTTACGCCGTCAACTTGACAACAGCGAGCACCTCATACACGACGACTTACATGGCGTACACCCCTCCCCCTCTCTATTCTACACCGTCTGATCCCCTCCGCTCATGTGCCACGACATAACGGAGAATCTACTGGGACTCGATTAGCGAAATCTCCTTGTTCCACAGGATTGTGTTATCCTTCTCTGTTACACGGAGAGGAGAGAAAGAAAAAAACGGAAAGAAAAGGAGGGGCGTGGGAACTCTGGGGAATAATGTGCTACGGAGAATTTTCTACTTTTCTCCTCGGGGGTTGGGTTTCTCCCCCTTCGCACGCCATGTCCCGTTCCTCTTTCGTGGGTATAATCCTGCCCGTTGTATTGTCATGCTAGCCACGCCGTCGCGCGGAGGTGGCTTGACGATAGTGTAAGTCGGGTGGAGAGGGTCGTGAGAGAAAGATGGAGATGGGGGACAAAGTCTCATGTTCTCCATGCTTCGAGACTATCATCATGCCACCTTTGACCGAAACCTGCATGGTGGTTGTTAGCGGGGAAATGGGAAGCTCGTATTAGCACAGACAAACTCATGAGCATGCCAAAGGTGCTAAAAAACCCCGTCTTGCGTTCAACCAGATTAATGACAGGCATGACATAAGCTCAGCCGTCATCGCAGAACCTCAAAGAGTCGCGCACTGGGTATGTGCATTTACACCTCAAGCCGTGAGGCGAGGCCCCGTACCAGCAGACGCCAGTCGTGCACCCGAGCTGGGTTCGCACCGCTAGGTCCGGAACTATTGAAGATAACCAACGGGTCCGGGTGATGACGGCCGGGAGCAGCCTCGCGCCGTTGCAGTCGGGATTTTTTCTTTCACTCATGACGAAAGAATTCTCCCTCCCCCCTTCCACGGCTCTTTATTCTCCGAAGACTACGGAATCCGGGAAATGAATGATCTAGCTCAGATCGCGCGCTAGAATCCCCATTATCGTCATCAAGGCGGTTCTACTCTATGTCTCTCGGGACTTTTAGCATGACGAGGCACCAAGACCAGCTTGAGCATCCGGGCTTTTGTTTTTTCGATATACCAGCCGGGCGGCTCAATAGTTCTGCCATGGCCTCCGCCACCCGCTCGGGCTAGTAGGAAGTCTGTCGCTGTGGCTGAAGTGTGCAATTTTGACGACCACTCGAGCTGCCTAGCCCAACTCTACTGATCAAGGGACTGTCGTTCCTTGGCTTTAGCCTCTAGGTCCGCTGCCATCTGCCACAGTGCGTCTGCTCAGACACTAACAGGAACGATGGCGGCAGATCTTGGGGCGACTATATCAAAGTACCGGAGCGATGTGGAAACGAGAAATTAACAGGTTGCTTCTTGGTACCGAACCTCTTTCCCGTCTACGCTCTTTTGTCCACGTTTGATATCGCCCTGGGCCATGATTTTCAAAGGTTATTTGGAAGCAAGTCACGGTCAGTGTGTCCGATTATTGCGCAGACCCTCAGCCTCGTCGGCAGGGACCGACGCGATGACGTTGAAGCCGGGCGTCGGTGCCCCGAGGCTGGACGGCGATTGCCTCTCAGGTTAGCGTTCCTGGCGTGGGTTCGATGGAGACGCCGTTGGTTGGCACGATTGGGTATCAAGCAATGCTAGATGAATATGACCTGATGTATCTAGCCACCGTGGCCACGTTGCCAAAATGCCTCGAATCGTCAAAATCATTGCTCAGTTGAGATCTTGTCCGATGCGGTTCGCCGACAGGGTTTGCCAATGAGATCAACGCGGAGTCCAGCCGGCTTCCACTCAGCATCTCCGGTCACCAAGACCCTTGCAAACTAAGGCGTAATTCAGCGCAGACCGACTCGAAGGCCGCTGCAATTGCGAGGATCCAAAAGGAAATGATCAGGGTCGTTCCGGACGCCCTCGACTGTCCATTCGTCTCAGAGAAACTACTGTCAATACGTCTTGCGTGGTGAGTTGGTGTCGATAGCTTGTCTACGTCGCATTGACCGCCCGGTATGGGAAATCGTCTTCGCGACAGATGGTGCTTCAAGATGTTGGCAGCTGGGTTTCCGACTGCCGTGCAGCCGCGAGACCCACGATTCTTCGTATATCCGTGGCAGCGCAAGATCCTTTGGCAATCCGCCCGCTACCCCATTTTGGTCCGATGTGGTAACCTTGCGAACGATCATGAGGGGATCGCTCGACCGAATGGGTCGCGTCATTTTGTTCTGCCAGGGAATGGGATGAACCTGAAGAGGGGTAAGCATGGGAGCAGGGCGCCAATGCCAACCAGCCGGGTTGTAATTGCAGAGAGAACTCGAGAGCTTCCCTTGCAGCGGGCGGGCATGATTGTCAGTTGTACAGGTACTCTTGAGAGCCGGGGGCACCGAGTAAGTATCGTCTGCAAGCACGTCCAACGCGGCTCGGGTGAATCTGCGGCGTCAGACAAGGGTTTAAAGGTTCGTCTGATGTCTGTCTGGCAGGACTCGATATTTTCCTTCCCGCTGGTCCCTTGGCCGGCCGCAATTGTAGCCAGCCAGCTCATCAGAATTCAGATGCGCATGTCAGGACGGTGGAGCCGTCGCAGGCATTCGTAACATCCCCACCGCCCATGCGCGCGCGGGATGATAATCACGGACCGAACAGTCCAGAGTTTGAGAGAGAGGGAGAACTCTTGCAAGTTGTCAGTGGCATTCGAGCCATGGTCATGCTGGCCCGTACGTACGGATAGGAACTGCATTTGTATGATGAACCGTTCGTGGCTGGGTATGGACAGTGTTCGACCACGAAAGAAAAAAGCGTGGTCTGCGAAGCAAAGGCTTCCTGGCCCAGTCTAGACGCTGGTGAAGTCGAATGTGCGTCATGTTCCTCTCCGGACCCCAGCATCGCGTTGCGCTTTGCCCATCGTTGTTGACGATATGAATATTCCTCGTCTTTCGCTCGGTCTGTGCAGGGCTCATCATTTTGCTTGTCTCAACAATGGAAGGCGACCTATCCGTGGCAAACTTTGTCGATGCGGGTGTTGGCGGCAGGCCGCAGTCCTGGGATTTCGGCGCAACCGCTTTCAATGCAACATCAAATGGCAATGATGAGGTGCTTTGGCGTCTGATAAGCGCGCTTTTGGTCCGAACCCCACGAGTCCATCAATCTGAAGTTTTCGGAGAGTTCGTCGTGGATAGGCCTTAGTGCAGGCAATTAACGGTCTCTCCGAGCACCCATGACGACGTGGGGCCCCTTCCGAACGCACACCACGACCTCTGAGCCCGCAAGCTTGAAGCAATATCTAGCTTGACATCAGGGATATCGTGTTTCTGGGGAGCTTCAGGAAGCATTGCACTGCAGCCACCTGCGCGCAGGTCGAAAGCCTCGGCCTAGATCTTATTTCGAAGTACACCGTAGCTCACCCGTCTCGACCGTGAGCCATCATGTGAAATGCGTCCCACGAGAAGTCAGTTGACCGCCTCCCGCAGACAGTCCTGGGTATTATCACCAGGGTGAGATCAGATATAGGGGCCCGGGTCTGAGGATTCCGCTGCAGGACAGCAAGCATGAAGATCGGCTCAAACCTCCCTGTAGGCTGTAGCGGCACGGGGCCATTCGGTACCAACCCCCCCAGGCTTCCCTACGCGATCCCTTGTCGCTCAATTTTAAATTCGTCCCATCTTCTCAGCCAACCAAGATGACAAGGATGTCACCGCAAACCTAAATGAG